TCAGATTCTGCGACTCCCTCCTGATTGAAAACTCCAACCGCGCCCTCCGCCACCAGCCTGCTACGCGCACTCCGCACCTCAGAATTTGACTTCAGCACTGCGCCTCCTCTGAGTGTCCTTATGCGTTTCTCTTTCCTCCTAGTTGTAGGACTTCCACTCAGCCAGCGTTCCTGTGGTTCTGGATGGTGTCTGTTCCATCTTTTAGTTTCACTTTTGAAGTGGTTGTTCAAGGCAGCAAACTCCGGCGTTAACCGATGCCGCCATCTTGGTTCTCCTCCAGGAAAAGTTTCTTGAAAAGAGATACAGTGACTCACATCTAAGAGGATGTTGTTTGTGAGATGACTGGAATTCAGAGGAGGAAGAGATGATGGCCACGTCGGAGAATCATGGAAGACTGTGAAGGGGATGGAGTTGGGCCTTGAAGACTAGTAAAATTTGAGCATAGGGATATAAGTGGAGAGCACTCAGTAAATTCTGTCATTCATTAGCAGTTCTATGCTTCCGACATAAATGAGATGAGAGTGGACCTTTATCTTTCCAGCACTGGAAAGATGGAATGAGAAAAAGGGCACAAATGGGAGAGTCAGACATACTGTGTCACTTTTAAAATGTGCCCCAGTCTTTCTTGTACAAACTATCTCATAAATAATCAATGAGGGAGAGAGTTCTTCATTGAAAACAGAAGAAAAGATGCATTTATAAAATTATATTTTGCATCCCTGAGTAAAATAAGGAATCTAAGCTGTTATAATGGCTGCGAAAACCTTAAGTTTAAGACTGACAGGGAGCATTTAATGAATAGGTCAAAGACAAACACCTGAGCCTGCTGATCAATTTTAACCCCACTAGAGGTGAGACAAGCAAACCTGGGCCTCCTAACCTGATGAAGGAGGATGCACACAGCATCTCTGAAGTAGTCTCACCAAAGCACTGGATCTGAAAGCCAGCTGCTAGACCTAGCTATCAGTCAACAGTGGATAAAGAGACATTAAATGACACCATGAAAACAGACCCCAAATGTGAAAACTTCTAACCAGTAAACAATTGGCATGAGGAAAGAGAGGGAGAGGAATAGCTATTATAGACTAAAGGAGATTAGAGACAAATCAACCAAATGGAGCATGTGAGACCTGTGTATATCCTGATTTGAACAAACCCACTATAAAAAGATATTTGTGAGCCCTAGCCAGTTTGGCTCAATAGATAGAGCGTCGGCCTGCAAATTGATGGGTCCTGGGTTCGATTCTGGTCAAGGGCACATGCCAGGGTTGCAGGCTTGATCCCCAGCAGGGGGCATGCAGGAGGCAGGCAATCAGTGTTTCTCTCTCATCATTGATGTTTCTATCTCTCTCCCTTTCCTTTCCTCTATGAAATCAATAAAAATATATTTTAAAAACAGATACTTGTGGTCTGTCCCCAGAGCCTGCCTACCCAGGAAGGCTGCATGGCTTGTACTTGGTCATCCAGATCATTAGGGGGCAGCACTGGACCCGTACTGCCCAATGTTCACTACATATCTAATGCCCTTTCTACTATAGAAAACCTCTTTTTCTCTAGACCAGTAGTTTTCTAACAAGCTCCTGGTTGTTTGAATAGTGAGCCTCTAAAATCCCTAATTTGGAGAGAATTAAAAATGGCAGCAGAGTAAGTGGATGCTCCCAGGAATAAACTGGTATTATAACTAAAATACAGAAAAACTTCCTGAATAATCAACAGAAAACTCGCAGGAGAGAACCCTGACACCTGAGACTAAAAGTGGAGACCACATAGAGACTGGTAGGAGGGACGGAGGCATGAAAGGTCTGACTGGGTGCCCACAGACAGCATCTGAAGTCCTGGAGAGATATCACAGTTGTGGGGGGTTGCCACTGAGAACTCTGGGATCTAATCCCCAAGCTGGGCCCCCCAGAGAGAGCATCAAAACTGAGGAGGGTACCCACATAACATCTGGCTGTGAAAAGCAGTGGGGTGCTATGTGCCAGAAATAGCTGAAAACTCAGGCACCCTCTTAAAGGGCCAATGCACAAAATTCCCCATGGAGCCACCCACCATATGCCAGCAGAGGGACTGTGAAGTGGACTGGAGCTGTGAGGGCAGAAGCCACGACTGGGGATTTGGGGGCTAGAACTCAGAAGGCAGACACCCCAAGTTTCCTGAGCTGAGTCATTCCCTCACACAGTGGAGGACATCTTTCCCACATAGACATATACCTTGCCTGGGGGGAAGACAGTTGACACATGCTTGGAAAACACCTTGCCCTGAGGCCACTTAAGAGATTAAAAATAACAAGGAGCCTCCCGGCAGTAGCAACTGCCCACCCTGTTGAAAAAACTCTTGCCACACCTGAGGACAATTGCCCTGGTGGGGGGGCTGGGGGGCAATTCAAGTCGGAATCTTATCAGTCTGTAGGCAGAGGCAGTCTCTAGAGCAGTGGTTCTTAAATTG